CATAGGGTAAGTGTGCTCACTGGAGAGACAGAGAGAGAGGAAAAGTGAGAAATCACCCCCCCCCCAGGAGGAATGGCTATGCTGCAGTCCCTTCTCTTTCACTCTCCTCCTGGAATTTTGGGCATGCATGCACACATGCCTGGTGTGATTTTCAGGCGCCATGTCCAGGACTCAAACTGTGGTAGGCTATTGTCTTAACCACCATGCCATCTGTTGGCCCCATGTCTGGGAGCCTTTTAGTGTATCATCAGCTTCAATTTCTTCCAGTAGGATCTTACTTTCATGCCATTTAATCTTCATAACCCTATATTAATATTTGATCTTATGTTTTATATTATTTTGGAGATGCATAAGAAGTTTATGTTTCTAAAGGGTTGTCAGGTGCATGTTCAAAAGCAATACCAGACTCATTTTTTAAAATAGAAAATTGGGCAAGAAACATTAGAACGGGGATTCTAGTGTATGATTTTCAAATTTTAGTATGATTTGGAAATTCTTTTTTTTTTAAATTCTTATGCTTCATTAGACTTATAGAAATTTATAGGAAATAGGCTATCTCTATAAGTATATTAAGAAATATACTTTTGAGTAACAGTGCACAAAAAATTATGAATATAATTTAGGTAAAAATAAATGGATACAGTTCGTGCATAGTACTTTTTCAAAATATAAAAGCATGCTTTTGCACTCTTCTTCTCTAATATCCTGCAGGGCTTGCCAAATGAAAGCTGGAAAATATCCAAAATAAACAGTAACTATGAGTTCTGTGACACCTACCCTGCCGTCATTGTTGTGCCAACTAGTGTGAAAGATGAAGACCTCTCAAAAGTGGCAGCCTTTCGAGCAAAAGGCAGAGTCCCTGTGAGTATTAAATATCGTCACTCAGGTAAAACATACACTGTGTTAGATCCATCCAACACTGAAAGGTGCAAAAGAGAAAGAATCCAGAGGACAAAGTGGGAAATAGGGGGGGAAAAAAGCTTAAACACATGAACATATCTTTGATTCTCAAGAAATACCCAATTTTACAAATAGTCTATTTGTTCTGAATGCCTTTGATTTCCTGTTACTGTGTACAGGGACGACTTAAGTTATGCTCTCAAGATGTAGGCGGAGTGACAAAGGAGTAGGAAGGGAGAGCATACTCTTGCATTAGCAGTTTATGTCCCTGGGTTCACTGACCCATGCTAGAGAAAATACATTGTTGCTTAGGTGCTGAGTACAGTGGGCAGCTGCACAGGAGGGACACCCATGACTGAAATAGTAGCAGCCATCAGGGAGTGATGGTTTTGAGCCTGGGGCTTGCATCTGGTATTGTCCTGTGTCACTTGGTTGCTGGAGGAAGGTGGGAGGTTTAGAGGCACAGCTATAGATTTCATGACTGTATAAGTCACTTTGTCCCCAACCTGCCACAAATGTTATTGTTGAGATGCAAAGATGGTTTTTAAATTAAGAGCAAGATAAAACCGGTCAAATCAAAACGGGGCTACATTTTAGTAATTAGCTTGATTTAGGCTTATTTGTTTAATCTTTTAGGTTTTTGCCATAGGATGCATGCACTTGCTGGAGAGAGACAGTGAGAAGGAAAGTGAGACATCACTCCCCTAAGTGGGATGGCCATGTAAAAACACATCTGCCAGCTGGTGTATATTCGATGTTCTAGTGAAGAGTTGATGAGTGAGGTAGGCTCTCAACCACTGACTGACTCTATCAGTATAGTCTGATTTGGTGTTCCTGGGCCCGGGAGCTTTTTTTTTTTTTTTTTTTTTCTTTTTAGTCATAGGGTAGGTACACCAGGGAGACAGTGACAGGGAAAGTGAGAAATCACTCCGTAGGGAAGATGGCCATGCTGCAATCCTTTCTTCTTCATTCTCCTCTCGGCACGCACTCACACAGGCACATGTGCCTAGGGTGACTTTCAAGCTGCCAGGCCTGGGGCTCAAAGCTTGGTCGTCCATGTGAGAGTCCAGTGCCTTAACCACATCACCTGCTGGTCCCTTAACTTAGGTTTTGAGTTACTTAGAGTCATAGAATTTTAGAGGTGAAAAGGATTTTAAAGCTTGTCTAGTCACACTTGTGACAACCTGACCAAAACATTGAGACCTATGGCCACTACCATGCTGTGATTGGCCTGCCTGTTCTCACCTTTGAGGAAATATGTTGAAGAGACTATGCTCGAGAAGGGATCTTGTTTTTCCTACCAAGTCATTGGAGCATACATTATAGGAGCTGTACTAATATTTGTTCCTTCAAATCACTAGGTGCTGTCATGGATTCATCCAGAAAGTCAAGCAACCATTACTCGTTGCAGCCAGCCACTTGTGGGTCCCAATGATAAACGCTGCAAAGAGGATGAAAAATACTTGCAAACAATAATGGATGCTAATGCACAGTCACACAAGCTTATTATCTTTGATGCTCGTCAAAACAGTGTCGCTGATACCAACAAGGTATATACTTGATAACATCACAGCGACATTGGCAGTTTTCTTGTGTACTGTCCATAAATTGTTGTGCAGTTCAAATAACCTGTTGAATTCCTCACCACCTAAAGCTACACTCTTGGAGTAGTCCACCACTGTCCCTACCTATTACATATTTGCCGACTGTGTTTGTTGTCACACACGAGTTAGGTTTTATTGCCTTTCCACAGTTTTGTTTGCTCAATCAATTAAGCAAAGACTTAGGAAGAAGATTATCATCTAAGGGATTAAGTGCAATTAATTAATTAATTAGATTGTTTATTTATTTAACACTCATTCATTGTATATCATTACAGCATACAAAATGAATTTTCCCATCTAGAATACACTGGATATTGGCCCAGTCAAAGATATTACCAGCAGAAAATTTTCAATTTTGTAGGTTAAGTGTTTGAATGAACTAATTGTGAGGTCCTTGGGAGTCCCTTTAATTTAGGGTGATTACTTGATTAATTCATATCTGGTCTGAAACTTTGAGAATGGAGTCAGCCATGTGGAACTATGCAAATACACAAAGTTTCTATAAATTCCATGGAGCACTGGTAATGTGTGTCACATGACAGTGAGATGTGCTGAGAGCACCTCTGTATGCAGCTCCCATTTTTAAAAGTTTATGTATTTATTTCCACCAGAGAGACAGAGAGACAGATAGATAGGTACCCCTAACAGAGTCTTCATGCTGTGATTCACACACAATCTCATCTGGCCTGGATCAAAGGTATGTGCAGATGCACCCAGTATGCTCAGGGAAGTCCTGGAATGCAAACCCAGAACCTTTCCCGTGTGGGTCTAGTCATGTTACTGCTGCAACTCTACCTGGCTCCAACACTGCAGTTTCCATCCTACCCTGATCCTTCCTGAGGCTGAGACTGAATTTCCATCCTGTTGCATGGCTGACACCTCCACCTGGCTCTCTCCCAAGTCACAAAACTTCAACATACTCAGTCTGGCCGAGAGGCTGTGGTGGCATGGTGCTGAGACCCTTTGGCTTTGGAATGGCTATACCTGGATTTTCCTCCAGGTTCTTCCAGTTGGTGCTCTGCACAATCCTGAGGAAGTTCTTGACCTCTCTCTTTAAGCCTCAGGTTCCTCTTCTGCAAAATGGTAAATAATACCAATGTCTCATGTCAAAGGTTGTATGAGGATTAAAATTAAGTGAGAATATGCATGTAAAGGACTTAGCACAGTGTATCTCCAGTACATGATGCTGATAAGCTGGCCACCCCTGTGGTCATGTGGGCTGCCTAGGTATCTGAACTGGAGGGTGAATACTGGTGTCAGTTACTGAGATGGGGAGCACTGGCAGAAGAAAGGGCAGGGAGGGCATTCGTTTCCTTAGGCTGCCTTATAAATCACCCCGAGCTTGGTGGTTTACAGTAACAGAAATGTGTTCTCTCATGATTCTGGAGTCCAGAAGTCCAAAAGCTAGCAAGGCTAGGCTCCCTCCTTACCTCTTCCAGCCTCTGGTGGCTGTCCCAGCATTCCTGGGCTTGTAGCCACATTGCTTAGTAGTGGCCTCTGTGTCCTCTGTGTATTTGTGTGTCTCCTCCTTCCCTCTCTTCTGGAGACACTTATGATGGCATTTAGGGCTCACTTGAGATAATCTAGGATTAGCTCTTTGCCTTGAGATCCTTGAGATCTTTAATCATATCTGCAAAGGCCCTCTTTTCCTTTTTTGCTTAGTTTTCTTTCTTCTTAAAATTTTATGATTTCTTATTTACATTTAATTTTGTATATCTTTATAATGTACATTAGGGTTTTTCAAAGCATGCGTGCAGTGTTTGGTAATCCAAGCCAAGGATAGAACTTCACATTCTTGAGTTTGTTAAGTTTCTCTTCTTGAACTGCTTCTTAAATGAGGTATTATCACAATTATGAGAGCCTCAATATGGATATATTTGGCAGGAAGCCACTTTTCAGCCCACTGTAGGGCGAATCCTTCTTTAGTAGGTCCCCTTTGGTCCCCACTTCTGGTACATCATCAACTTCCCAGTCTTTCAATGTCTCTACATCCTTCCTATTGCCGCCATAGCACTGGCCCAAGGAATTACAAAATAATGAGGAAATCTGCAGTCATAGAGGCAGTCCCAGAGAGCAAGGGCAGTTGCTTGTCTTGTATCTCATACAGAAGACAGGGAATCAAGATGTCAAACTGTGTGTCCAGAATGCTTTTAACCAGAGTATTGTGTGTCTCTAGGAAACAGAAAAGGCTGTTGATTTGTCCCAAGTCCCCATTTGCTCTTTGTATGAGATTATGTCATTTGCACGTAGAGTAAGTTTGACTTCCTCCTTTCCAGTGTGGACACATTCCCTGTCTTCTTGCCTGATTCCCTGGAAGGATACTCTGGTACAACGTGGAATCACAATGGCCAAAGCAGCCATCCTCATCTAGTTCCTAATTTTAGGGAAGAGCTGTCAGTTTTTCACTATCAGGCGTGATGTTAGCTGTGGGTTTTTCATACATGCTTTTTATCAGGATAAAGGAGCTCCCTTTTGTTCTTTTATGTGTGTGTTGATAAAATTTAAATTTCTTGTAGCTCTTCTGAAATATTTAGTAAATTTTTAACCATAGTTACTCTACTATTCTGTAGAGCACTAGAACTTCTCATGATAGGATTTTTATTGTAGAGTGTCAGATTTTGTCAAAGGCCTTTTCTGCATCAATTGACATGATCAGGTGGTTGTACCCCCTTCATTCTGTTAAGGCAATGTATGATAGTGCTTGATATTTTTTGTATGTTGAACCACTGTCAAAGAATGAATAATGTCCCCCCAAAACACATGTTCACCTGGAACTTCTGAACGTGGTTAGATGTGGTTAGTTAAGATGAGATCATCCTGGAACAAGGTGGGCCCTGAATGCCACAATGACTGGTATCCTTATAAGAAGGCCATATAGAGACATAGACACACAGAGAGGGAAGGTGGCTCCGTGGCAATAGAGGCAGCAATTTGAATGATGCAGCTGAAAGCCAAGAAATGTTAAGGATTACCAGCAACCAGCAAAAACTATGAGACAGACATGAAATGGATTCTTCCCTAGAGCCTCTGGAGGGAAACAACCCTACCAACATCTTGATCTCAAACTTCAGCCTCTGAACTGTGAGAGAATAAACTTGTGTTATTTTAAGCCCCCCCCCCCCAATTGTGGTTGTTTGAGCAGCCGTAGCAAACTAGTAGGACCCCCTAAAGTTCCTGGGGTCAATCTTGGTCATGGTGCACAATCCCTTTCATATGCTGCTGGGGCTGGTTGGCTATTAGTTTGTAGAGAATGTTTGCATCTGTACTCGGAAGTGACAGATTTCAGTCTGTAGTTTTCTGTTCCTGTGATGTTTTTGTCTAGTTTTGGTATCAGGGATCTACTGGCTTCCTGGAATAAACGAGTAAGTATTCCTTCCTCTTCAGTTTTATGGAAGGCCCATCCTCTTTCGCCTGAACTACCACAGTCGCCTTGAATTTGCCTCAGACCCTGCAATCTAGTCTCCACATTATGGCCAGAGTGATTTTTTATTTTAATTTCTTCTTCACATTGAATTGTACATTTCCATAGTATATGATATAGTTTTTCAAAAGTGTGCATTACATTACCATCAAATCAAGGATATTACCATATACACCATTTCCATCAGAGAACTTTGCATTCTTTTATCTCTCAAGAACTTCCTCCTTAAGCCCCTCCCACCCACCCCTGCTATCCACTCATTTGCCCTATAGTGTCTACTGCCCATACTTGTCTTCCCTACTGTTATATCTTCAGGTCTTTCGATTTCTGTCATAGAGTGCAGGCATTCGGTATATATTGAGTTGGGGACATATGATATTTGTGTTTCATAGTCTGGCTTACTTTGCTTAGCACTAAATCTTCTTTGTTCTTCCACTTTGAATCAGATAACAGAGTCTCATTGTTTCTTATGACTGAGTAATATTCCATAGTGCCTATGTGCCACATTGCTAAATTATTTTTTAAATTGACAAAAATTGCTTGTATTTATGGTATACAACATGTTTTGAAATATGTTTACATTGTGGAATGGACTAGGACTGGGCCAGGCACATAATTGCTGTCCTGGGAGAGTAAAACCCAGAGATGAGTGGTGGGTCACAGTCATCTCTCTGTGGACCATTAACATTTAGAGGAACATTTTGGAGGCAGAGTGACACCATCAGGTTTTCAAGTCAAATTTCCCTTTCAGAAAGTGAACCTGTGGCAGGAAGGGCAGGGACCTGGTTGTAACTCGCTATGTTTGAGGAGCCTGAGTGGAGAAGACAAGGCTCTGGAGCTAAGGAAAAGGTCAGGTTGTTTCAGTTAACATGATGTCCTCCAGATTCATCCATGTTGTCACAAATGATAGCATTTCCTTCTTTTCTGAGGCTCACTTGTGTTCCATTATGTGTACTTAGGCATTTTCGTTATCCATGGATGGATGCTTGGGTTGATTCTCTGTCTTGCCTGACCCACTTCAGCTCTCCTGTCAGTTTTTCCCATGGCTACCCCCTGGGTTGCTGAATGTTCCAGAACTAAAGACTCACAATGTGAAGATTTGAGCCACTCCAGATTCATGCTCTCCAGCTCCAACTGGGTCCTGGGTGTGCTGTTTGACAAGAATCATAGAGAGGATGAAATGAACCCTGAAGAAAACAGGAGAGCTGACAACTCCCACCATCGTCCTTCTGCCTTGTACAGATAGATGTCTTAGAGGAGTTGTCTGCTGGATATCCACAGTTCCTTACCTACCACTCACTCACTTCTTAAGCTCCCATCCCTGCCTCTCTGCCCATACTGTTCTTAGTAAGGTCACCAAATACCCTCTCATCTTGAAATCCAGCACATTGTTTTCTGTCATTTTCCTTGACCTGTTAAGCTTTTGATGTAGTTGAGCACCTTCTCTTTTTTCAAGATACTCTCTTCCTTTCTTTTTAAATAGTTATTTCTTTCTTGACTAAGAAAGACATATAGAGAGACAGCACACCCAACAGGGTCTTGATGCTTCAATCCACTCCCCACCTTAGCCAACCCCAGATCATGGGCACATGTGTGCCTGGTGTACTCAGAGAGGTTTCTACTTGAGCTGGAACTTTCTTCTGTGGGATTGCCTCACTGAGTGTCTCCTTTTACTGCTGTGCCACCAGCTGCCCCCCCCCCCCTTGCCCCAATCTCTGGCAATTTTTCTCTTATTTTTTGCTTTATATTCTTTAAATGTTGGCCTTCAAGTTCCTGGCCTATGCTTCTCTCCTCACATCAAACACACACAACATCCCTCTGCCTTCCAGTATAACCCATATGCCAATGACTCACATGTTGACATCCACAGCTCAGATCTCTTTTCCCACCTCCAGAATATCCTGCTATGCCACCACCTGTTGCTATTTGCACTTGAATTTCTCGCAGGTGTCAGGCATCTGATCCTCACTGCACTGCAAACCGCACACCCACCATCCCCACCAAACCTGCTCCTTATCCAGTAGTCTGTATTTCAGTAAATAATACCACATATCCAGGTCGCCCCTCCAGATATGGGGATCATTGTTTGGAATGTGCACCATATGTTATGTATCTGCCCACCATCTGAGGGACTTTGGATTACTTCTGCCTTTGGCTGTTGTGAATAGGACTGCTGTGAGCATTTGTGTACCTGTTTTTCTTGGAGTGCCTGTTCTCAGTTCTGTGGGATGTGACCCTACGAGCCTATGAACTGCAGCAGTATATGGTAATTCTGTGGTTAACTTTTGGGGAACCACCACCACCTTCTACAGTAGCTGCACCATTTTACATGTTCTCTGCAATGGATTGCAACTACAGTTTTTCTACATCCTAATCAGAGATGCGTTTTGAATGTTAACCTCCAAGAAATATGCTAATTACAGATCGGATTTTCTTATGCAATCAATGAGGGGGTAGATGATGTCCCCTTTTTTGGTTACTTTTGTATTTTACTTTTCTTAAACTGCCTAAATAAATCACATGACTTGAGACTTCCAAATTGTTTTATTGTACAGAAATGTTGTAGTACAAATTTGTCCATTCAGATAGCTGGCACTAATAGAACCTTTTATCCCCAATTCTCCTTGAGTAAGATCGAGTTGGAAATTTTTATTATTTTAATTGCCAGAGGGTACCTGAGTTCCACAGAAATTGACAGAGAGGGAGAGGGAGAAAGCACCCCTCATGGGTTGTGGTCATGCCAAAATCCCTTCTTTTCTATTTCTCCATCCCATTAGGATTTTGGGCACATACACTTGGGGTGCTTTTTAGGCTGCTGGGGCTGGGATTCAAACTACGATTGGCCATGTGGGATCTGGCATGCTCAACCACCAGGCTATGTGGCTGACCTGTTAATGGTTTAAAAACTGATGATGGGGGGACCAGCAGATGACGTAATGGTTACATTGCTGGACTCTCACATGGCCTACCACAGTTTAAAGTCCTGGACCCAGCAGCTTGAAACTCACACTGGTGTGCATGTGTGTCCAGAGTCCGAAGAGGAAAATTGAGGAGAGGGGATTGCAGTATGACCATCCTCCCTGGTGGTGATTTTTTGCTTTCTGTCTCTCTTTGTCTGTTCAGCAAGCACACATGCCCTATAGCAAAAATCTCTCTTTAAAAAAAATGCTGATGGGTGATGGAGAATTGCTATGGGTCAAATTGTGTGTCCCCATAAAAAGGTACGTTGAAGTCCTAACTTGTAGTACCTATGAATGTGACCCTATTTGAAAATAGGCTCTTTGCAAATGTAGTCAAGTGAAGATGAGATCATACTAAAGTGGGGAGGGCTCTAGTTCTGCAGCAACAGTTGCTTATAAGAAAAGGAGAAAGACACAGAGGCACAGAAAAAGGGGAGAAAGTCAGGTGGGGATGGCGGCAGAGGTCTGAGTGACATGTCTCTAAGTCAGGACAACCGGGAGCTGTCAGCAGCTGTAAGAGCCAAGGAAGGCTGCTGCCCAAGTCTGCTCAGAGGGAACATGGCCCTGCTCATACCCTGATTTGGGCTTTCAGCCTTTGGAACAACGAGAGGATCAGCCTCTGTTGTTTTCAGCCCCTTCGCTTGTGGCCCTTTGTTCCAGCAGCCCTGGGAAGCTCAGACCAGGATGTAGGAGGCTGAGCACCAGAGAAGTCTACTGCTGCCTCGTGGTCAGTGTCTGGTAGTACTAGAAAGAATAAAAAGGTCTGTTCTCTATGAAGTGATACGCATCTTTTGTTTTTCCCAGGCAAAGGGCGGAGGATTTGAAAGTGAAAGTGCCTACCCAAATGCCGAGCTTGTATTCTTAGAGATCCACAACATCCACGTGATGAGAGAGTCTCTACGCAAATTAAAGGAGATCGTGTACCCCTCCATCGATGAGGCACGGTGGCTGTCCAACATCGACGGGACACACTGGCTGGAGTATATAAGGGTAAGCCGGGCCTGTGTTTTATGTGCTTGCTGGCTACGACCTCTCCGTGTCTGTGCCGCCTGCATCTGTCTCCACATGGTTTCTCAGCAGCATGAATAGTCACGTTTTCGCTGCATACATGAGCCTTCTTAGGGTCCGTCCACAGGCAGCGTGCAGCCTGTGGTCTTCGTGGCGCTTTTGGGGTGTTGTGTAAAGGAGCTAGTGTTTGCCTCGTGAGGGTTTGCAAAGAACTTTGTGCTCCGATAGTAAAGGAGCCTATTTATAAGTATTTTTTTCTCCTTTTTTATATGATGCTGTTTCCTACTGATTCCCGATTAAGTGCATGACATTCTGACTGGTTTACTGCCCAGAATTTCCAAAGTTTTCCCCAAAATTATTGTTTCTATTATTGAAACGAAACATAACCCCGTGTAATGTGGCTTCCTTTCTGAAGATGCTTCTCGCTGGGGCAGTAAGAATTGCTGATAAGATAGAGTCTGGGAAGACCTCTGTGGTGGTGCACTGCAGCGACGGCTGGGACCGAACAGCTCAGCTTGTGTCCTTGGCGATGCTCATGTTGGACGGTTATTATCGGACCATCAAAGGATTTGAAGCGCTCATAGAAAAAGAGTGGATAAGCTTTGGACACAGGTTTGCACTGGTAGGTTGAGATGGTGAAGTTCATGCTTTTGACTGTTTTGTTCTGTCATATGCATATGCACGTAAAATTTAAAACACACACACACACACACACACACACACACACCTCTATCAAGCCTGAACAGTAATTCTATGTTCCTGGTACGGCATGGGGCTTAACCACTGTGCGTGGGCCCAGCCTGCTTGGTTTTTGTTTTTCAGGAAATATATTTATGCCTTTTTTAAAACAAAAACTTAGGTAGAATTTACATAATATGAAAATAACCATTTTTTAAAGGGCTCAATTCGGTGTCCTTTAAGGCTTTTCCAATGTTGTATAAACATCATCTCTATGTTAATTCCAAAACATATTCATCACCCCAAAAGGAAATCCTGTACCCATTAAGCAGTAACTCCCAATTTTCCCCTACCCACAGCCCCGACAACCACAGGTCCGCTTTCTGTCTCTACAGGTTTGCCTATTCTAAGTACCTCATGTAAGTGGAACTATACAATATTGATCCCCCTAAAGGCTGGTTCATTTCACGAATCTTAATGTCTTCAAGGTTCCTCACTATTACATCTCACATCTGTACTCCGTTCTTATGGCTGAATAGCACTCCTTTGTATGTAGGTACATACTGCCGTGAACATTGGTGTACAAGTTTTTGCGTAACAAAGTACTGCAGATTAAGTGCTGTTTAAATAGCAGAAATGTATTTCCTCACAGTTCTGGAGGTTTCAAGTCCAAGATCAAAATGGCAGCAGGACTGGTTCCTCCCTAGGCTTCTCCTAGGCTTGCATGTGGCCATCTTCACCCTGCATCTTCATGGGGTGGGTCTTCCTTTGTGCATATACTCCTGGTGTGTCTGTGTGTCCAAATGTCCTCATCTCATAAGGACACGAGTCGGATTGGGCTAGGGCCTACTCTACTGGCCTCAGTTCAACTCAGTCACCTCTTTAAAGGCCTTATCTGCAAATGTACTCACAGTCTGAGGTACTATGGATTAGGACTACGATTTGTGGAGGGGGAGGCATAATTCAGCCCATATAAATGGCTTCCCATTTTGAGCCAATCACTGGATCATATGGTAGGGCATTCTTGGGCTGGCATTCTTGTCTTAGTCCTGGTCTCTCAGGCCATTGAGCTGTTGGAGACTCATTTGCACTGTGCACTGACTTGGTGTAATTCTGAATCCTGATCTGATTGGCTCCAGATGGTAGGAGGACAGAAGGCCTGCAGATATCAGTGGCTGTGGTGTATGACTCTGAGCATCCTAGCTGGCCCACATTTTCAGGAGGACAATCAAGGAGAGGCCCTTCCAGAGGGAAGGGCAAATCCACAACCTTTGAGCTGCATACCTTGCGGAGGTTGTAATCATGTCCTTGGGCACCTGCCTTGGTTTCATCCCCTTTGGGAGGATGAGGAAATTGGTTTGTATGCATCGGATACTTAGCACACTGCTTGCCCATGCTACACATACTGGGCAAGTTGGCATGTGTTCCCTTTTAAAAAATAATTTAACTTTATTTATTTTAATTTGACCAGAGAGGGACAGAAAGAGAGCAAGAGCAAGAGAGAGAGAGAAAGCAAGCCCCCAGGTCTGGGACTCGAACCGCTGTTAGCCATGTGGGACTCCAGTGTCCTTAACCATCACGCCACCTGCTGCCCCCCATGTTCCTTTTTATTAAGGTTCTTGCCATAGGGCATTTGTATCCCCTGGAGAGAGAGAGACAGACAGAGACAGAGAGGAGAATGAGAAATCACCCCCCTGGGGGAAATGGTACTGCCACAATCTCTTCTACATTTTCCTCTTGGGATTTTGGGCATGCACACCCATGCACCTGGTGTGATTTTTCAAGCTGCTAGATTTGGGACTTGAACTGTGGTCGGCCATGTGGGAATCCAGTGCCTTAACCATTATGCTACCTGGTGACCCCAGCATGTGTTCATTTTAAACATCATCATGAACTATCCCTCCCTCCCAGGAAAGACTAGACTCTTCAGGGAGGAGAGAGTGTTTTCCATGTTTACACCCGGCCATCTCTGAAGATTTGGAGGCCTTTCTCTGCTACTTTTTCTCCCCAGACTGCATGCCATGGAGACAAAGCTGGCAGGGGCCCTTTGTCAGAAGGACAGTGGGAAGTCACATCCTGTGATGGGATTGAGCAGGGGTGCATGCACCAGGTGCTGGCAACACTCTCCTCCCCAGGCTTTGAGCTTTACAACTTTGTTAATCTCCTTGCTCATTTCTCTAGCCTCTTTAATGTGGGGATGACCCAGGGCTTGGCTCTTGGCTCATTTCTTTTCTCTGTGTGCTTAGTCCCTCAGAATCTCAGCCAGTCCCAAAACTTTGAAATGCATGTACTTTAAAATTTGTCATCTCTCCATTGCCACTGACACCCCCTTAGGCAGCCCCATCATCTCCTTGTGGCAGTCTCCTAAGCAGCCTCTCTGTAGCCTGCCCCCTTATGATCTGTGGATTCGATGCTGCTGTTCCCCATCACGAGTCCCTCAGTACCTCCCCGTGACCTGGGGGATTATGGCAGCTCAGCACGGCAACTGCAGAAGCCTGTGGCAGTTGCCTGTGGCCATCTGGCCTGGCCCAGCTCTCTACCTCATCTCTTGCCTCCTCCCCTTGCTTCTACCCTAAGCCTCAGCTGTGCCTAGCTACTTATGGCTTTCCAGTGTCCCGTGCCACGTTCCTACCACTTAAAATCAATTCCTGGCCACCCAGGAATTGGGTGGCACCCTTTCCTTCAAGGTTTATTGCAAATGAGACCCTCCCCATGACTGTGACTTATGTGACTTTTCCTCCTTCCCCCCCCCACCCCGTTCTAAGATGGTTTCTTCATTCTTATAGGCCTCTGCCATACCCTTGGAACACTCAGAAGCCCTGTCAGGATCCATGTGCACATGTACCCATCCAGTATGAAGCCAACAAGGCTAGGATTCGAACTCTGGTTGGCCATGTGGAATTTGGCTTTCTTCACACAGTGTCAAACCCCTGCACCATGGGGCCAGCCCCCTGGTGTTAATCATTATTTGGATTTTCAGACTTGCTAAAATCTCTGAAAAACTGGAAAGGATGTTTTTATACTTGTGGAGAAAATGGCATTTCTGAGATGTTTCATGAGTTGCTAACTAGGAGTCCCAGTTGACACCGTGCACTTGGCATGGTGGTTAGTCTTGGCGCCATTGTTTGAACAGAAAAGAGGGCCAGCCAGTCACTCAGAATTTCTTGATATCAGCGATATATATGTTAAATAAATTCTAAAACTATCAATATAAAACAAATAGTACAGTGAAATGTTGTTTTCTGAAACTAATAGGAATCAATTCAGCTCAGTGAACATTACTGAGTGCTTGTCACGTATGTACCAGGAATTCTGTTAGGCCAGATGAGATGTGATTTTTGCCACCAGACAATTAAAGGTGACTTTCGAGAGGACCACAGCAAACATGAAAAGTCCACCTTTTGTTTCTTTCCAGCGAGTGGGCCACGGTAATGACAACCATGCGGATGCTGATCGGTCTCCTATATTTCTGCAGTTTATTGATTGTGTTTGGCAAATGACAAGACAGGTGAGAGAGTTCAAGTGTACTTGTGCTCTGTGAAGTCTTTGGTTCAGCTATATCTTAAAGTTGAAGATTAGATAAACCTTCATTGTTTCATTCGAAATGAAATATGATCCTTTCTATTCTTTGATATAATTTGTTTTTAGTTTTTGCTGTAGGACATGTGTGCTCACCACAGAGAGACAGAGAGGAAAAAAGAGAGAGAGAAATCACCCCCTGGGGGGATGGCCATGCTGCAATCCCTTCTCCTACATTCTTTCAGGATTTGGGGCACACACACGCGCACACTGACAGGATTTGGGGCACACACACGCACACGCTCAGCGTGATCTTCAAGCCGCCGAGCCTGATACTCGAACCGCGCCACCAGCCATGTGGGATCCAGCACCTTAGCCTCCACATCACCTGCTGGACCACAATTTGATTCAAATTCACTTAAATGCAAGGAAAAAAAATTACAAATAACCAAGTTCACACCAAAGATTCCTTTCTTCCTACAAATGGCTTTTGCCATTGAACTTGAGCACCAGCACTTAGCATCCTGCTCAGCTGCCCCTGCCTCCACCGCCCTCCTTGGCCTTCCACTGAGCTATTCTAAGATTTGACCAGATGTCAGGCATGGGGATCGACTAGCCCTGGGATACAGTGTCTCCACACTGCCCAGCTCACACCCTCACCACCCCAAGCTCATTGAGGGAAATGAATGTCTAAGAATCAGTGGCACATAGGAAGCTGTAGAGCATTTATTTTTGGAGAAATTTTTGCTATAGGGCGTGTGCGCTCGCCAGAGAGACAGACAGAGAGATAGAAAGCGAGAAATCACCCCCCAGGGGGAGTGGCCACACCGCAATCCCTTCTCCTCCATTCTCCTCTCGGGATCTTGGGCATGCACGCACATGTGCCCGGCATGAGTTTAAGCCACCCAGTCTGGGAGTCAAACTGCGGTCGACTACATGGGAGTTCAGTGACAACAGCTATTATGCTAACTGCTGCTCCCAAGCCGCAGAGCATTTTGTCATTGACTGCTGCTGAGTTCCTGAATCCTCGCACCCAGGGCCCTGGCAAGCCAGGAACCCAGGCAGAGACCACCTCCTGTAAGCTAGTCAGACCCAGAGCTTAAGTAGTAGAGGGTGTGAAGCTCGGACTTAGAGCTGCGTGTAACTCAGTTTTACATGGGCTCAGGCTTTCTTTGCATCTTTGACTGCATTCCCAGTTGCAGTTGAGCTATCTTTTACACAAAAAGTAATATTACTTTATTTTACAAATTGGCTTTTTAGACTAACCCTACTTTCTCTCCCTTTAGTTTCCTTCAGCATTCGAGTTTAACGAGCTATTCTTAATCACAATTTTGGACCACCTTTATAGCTGTCTCTTTGGGACCTTCCTGTGCAACTGTGAACAGCAGAGATTCAAAGAGGTCAGTGTATCATCTTTGTGGTCGCCTCCCTTTCACCCAGGTGCCTTTCCTGCTGCATGGTCCAGATGGAGAGGGACTGGGCTTCAGAGCTGCTACTGCCTGTAGGTGGGGTGGGGGTCACACTAGGCACCCTCCCAGGTTCTAGCAGCCCCATCACACATGGCTAACACAAGCCCCTTACTTTCCATGCACTCTGCAGAGTAGTCACTTCCAGTCCTTGGCCCCCCTCACTCCGAGTCCACGCGCTGCCTGCTGCGCCGACTCCAAAGTGATATGATTTTGCTTTTCATCCTCTGTGGCTCCGAGCAGAAGGGTACTTGAAGACTTTGAAATCGGAAATCTGTAGATTAGCCGAGCCTGCCTTTAGGTAGCTCCTAAGTTTTCTTTCCCACCCAGCTGGTAAAGCAGCAGCTACCAAGGTTCTCAGTCACACATCACCTCTTGCTTTTCTCCTCAGTGTGAGTTAAAAGAAAGGTGCTGTCAAAGGTGAGAAGGCATCGAGAAAAGGCCACTTAAAAAGCATCTTGCAGGCCCATCCTGCAGTGGTTAAAGTAGCCAGGTCCCACATGGCCAACCCCACAGTTCAAAACCCAGCCCCAGAAGCTTGAAAAACACTCCAGGCATGGGTGCATACAGTCCCAAATCCCAGCAGGATGCAGAAGTGGAGGAAAGGGGGTCGCAGTGTGACCACACCCCATTATGGGATGCCTTCTCGCTGTTCCTCTGGTGAAATTTTTTTTTTAATGTATGCACCTGCTGGCAATGGAATAAAGTAATTAATGGTATCATCTGGCTAGTAGGAATGGACTGTGGCTTATGAAATAAGCATGCCAGACCATTGGAACTTAGGGGGAACCTGTCTCAGCAGTGACCACCTCCCACAGGTGACCACTCCCTCATTGTGACACCTAACCCCCAACCTGGCTTCTCTCCTACTTCGCTGGCTTCCCCTTCTCAGTCACCTTTGATTGGCTTCTGTTTTAGCCAGCCTCTCCAGGCCCCCCTGGGCCCAGGTCTGAGACCTCTTCTCACCACAGCCTCAGTGTTCACTCTCCAGGTGCGTCTGCCTGGCCTCAGGTGCAAATGCCATTTCCCTGCTACTCCCTGGTCTTATGCACCTTGGTAAACACTCCATTGGCCATCTAGATGCCAAGGTCAAGTGTGCAAGGAGTCAGCTTCAGCTCCTTCCTACCCCATCTGCCATGTCCAGCCCATCAGTGAATACTGCTGGCCCTGTCCCCAGTGTATGTGCTTGCTCAGGTCCCCATCGTCTCACATCTGGTCTGAGGCAGCAGCCCAGGAACGGGTTTCCTTGCCTCCGTTTCTGACCTCCAGCAGTTCATTTTCAGTGCAGGGCAACCAGCGCCAGTCTTCACCAGCTTCAGTCTGATCATGGACTGCTTCTGCAGCTTCTACATAACGAGGGACAAGTGAAAAGAGTCACCGTGTTTCTAAACACTGTACTGAAAAGTCTGCGGAGGATATTATTTAATAACATCTTCACTCCTCTGTGTTAAACTTCACCATCCTGCCCAACATGGCGCATTTCCTCCAGATGGCCATAACTTCTCAGTGCAGGGACTCTTCACTGAAAATTCTGCCCGTACTCCTCAACAGTAAGGGTCACAGAAGAAACTTTAAGCCAGAGTTAAAAAAAAGTATTTATTATGGATGGGGCCTATCATTCTGTGGTTGTTAGAAGTTCTCATTGTGTTGGAACCAGCAGATGGCATAATGGTTACATGGCTGGACTCCCACGTAGTTGACCATGGTTTGAGCCCCAGACCTGGTGGCTTAAAACTCATGCTGGATCCATGTGTCCTTGCATGCCCAAAATCCTGAGAGGAGAATGGAGAAGAGATTGTGGCATGACCAGCCCCCCTGGGGGGTAATTGCTCACTTTCCCTCACATTGTCTCTGTCTCTCTCTCGGGCGAGCGCACGTACCCTAAGGCAAAAACCTCTTTAAATAATAAGTTCTCGTTGTGCTTCCCACAGAGCAGTTGCCAGATGTTCTCTAGCTTTAGCAATCTGCTTTCCAGGCCTGCAACTTGTGTGTGTGTGTACGTCTTTTCCAGCAGGAGGCACACATGGTGGGAGGATGGGGTGGGGCTTAGACAGCATCCATGAAACTTCCAGTGCTTGAATTCAGTTTCTCATTCAAGTCCCTTTCTCTAGGTGATACTAATTCTTGAGGCTATGAAAAAAGATTTAATTTATTTCACTATATTCCTTTTTTTGTTTTTCAGGATATATGTACAAATACTATATCTTTATGGTCTTATATCAACAGCCAGCTAGATGAATTTTCTAATCCCTTCTTTGTGAATTATGAAAACCACGTGTTGTATCCTGTTGCCAGTCTGAGTCATTTGGAATTATGGGTAAATTATTACGTACGATGGAATCCACGAATGAGACCTCAGGTATCTTTTTGTTTTTCTTCTTTCCAAGTAGAGACAGTGTTCTAAAAATGCATGCATGGTAGGTTTAATATATCATACTGAAGGTCTTCTGCCCTTGGCTGTCAGGGCTTGGGCTCTGTGTTCATACTCGGGCAGGTCCCTCCCACACTCCAACTCAGGTACCTTTCTCTGCGTTAGAATTACAAATGCTAGGACCTCTGTCTCCTGCTGGTGGAGGTACATAAAATAGCATCTGGGACACCATCTGGGACTGCATCTGGCCGTTGGTCTACAGGTGACTTTTCCTGGTGGTGGTATGGGTACCTGATACACATGTGGAGCTGGCAGCAAAGCGTGTGAAAAGTACATGGATGTGGTTACAGTTCCCTACCTTATAGCATGGCAGGAGGAGGACATATGCTCACAGAATAGGTGGCCCCTGGAGAAGGGATAACATTCCCCTCCCTGCCACCCATTTTCACTGTGACCTTGTCTGAGATTGAAAAAAGCCAGAGATAGGTCCACACAATGGGTGGTCAGCCGAGCCTGTGCTGGGCACTCATGTCCTGTGGTCAAGCATGGCCAGTCAGGCTTCCTGAAGTGTCTGCTCCCAGTCTTCTGCTTGTGCCAGTGGTTTTGACTTGATCCTGCTCCACACTCCAGTCTCCTCCACAGGTGGGCATGGTGGTTCTGGGTCGGGGGAAGGCAGATGGCGCTTTCTGTGGAGATCTTTTTTTCTGCTGCTATCAGGGCTTAACTAGCAATCCATCAGAACATGTTGCTAGGGTGTCACTTGACATCATTGCTTCCATCATCAAGGACACAGAAATAAGCGTTTCCTCTCTGACCTCCTCCACCTGTCCCTCTCACCCAGTGTCTTCACAATCTCATTGTCATGGTCCAGGCCCATTAACCGCAGAGAAGTCCCAACTGCCAGTGTCTGTGCTGGAGCGTCACAGGGCACCGTCACTTTTCTGCCACTCACAGCTGGCCTGTTCCGTCACTCACAGACTTAGCTCCGGGCTCCTGTTCTGCCACATGCACACGGCTGCCAAGGCAGTGCTTCCCCCCCTTGCCCTGGATCCTTTGATCTCTAAGGCCATAAGCAGAACCTCCTCCTGCCTCATTCCATTTGTTCCATGCAGCTTTGGCTACAAGAGTGCTTTCCTCCTCTGAGTTGGCCCTGCTACCCTTCAGCTTTCAGAGTGATTTCTGGAAGGCTGAGGTCAGTGCTCACTGAGCCTAGTGTGTCTCCTCTCTGAGCTGGCCCTAGAGCTAGGCCCATACTCCCCACACCCCTCTTGTCCTTGGGGGCTGATGACTCCATGTCCCACAGGTGGCTTCAAATGCCAGGGAGGAGTCCAACCAAGTGCAGGGCGAACTGTTGTTGTTTTACTGGAGTCAATTCCAGAATTCCTTTCCTTTCACGCTCAGCTGCTTTATTTTAGAAAGCTGTACACGGAATTTGAGCCATCTTTCCAGGCAGTAGAATCAGCTTCACTTAGGAAACAAAACCTACATCCCTTCAGTAGCGCCCTGGTCATTGCTGTGTATTTCTGTCTCTTGGCTGTGTCCTTTCCTGGGGGGCTTCTATTCCCCCTGTTTTAGCGCCAGGGAAGATGAGCTCTAGAGTGCTGGAAAGCCATTTTTTTTTTAAGTTTATTTCTTCCATGAGCAAGAGAAAGAAATAGAGACAGCACCCCTAACAAGGTCTTGACGCCACAATCCACCCCCAGCCAGCCCTGGATCTTGGCTATGTGCGTGCCTGCTGTGTTCAGGGTGATCTCCAGATGTGTACGTGGAACTTTCCCACATGGGTCAGCCTCACGGAACATCATGTGTTACCACTGTACCACCATCTGGACCCCCTGGAAGTCACTATTTCAATCACGTAGAGTCACTGAGTAGCATTCTTGGTGACTCAAGGACCCGATGGCTGTCTGGATGTCTTTATCATCAGTGGAGAGCCCCACAGGACTGCTGCTCATCCTGAAAAGACAACAGATCGGGCAAGGTGCAGCCCTGGGGCTCTGTGTCCACCTCACTGCACTACTCCCTCTGCTGGTGCTCCGTGCACTGGCCACATGTCTCCCTGCACTCCCTCTTGCAAGCTGTGCACCTTAGTAAGGCAGGGACCAAGGCTTTCCTGAAACCGACCAAGTGCAGGACAGATCTGTTCCTGCATACAGCCAGGGGCTCTCACATGTAAGTAGGGGCCTCCACATGCTGTGCTGGGAACCACAGCACATGCTGTCCTCCCTTGAGGTCCTCCAGTCAGGCTGGGCATGTGTACACAGCTTCATCTAGTGTGCACGATGAACTCATGACAAGGAGGGGAAGGAAAGGCCCAGAGGAGCTGCCTATACCTGCAGTCGGGGAAGGATGCACCTGACCAAGGCCGGGTTCTGGCTCTGTGGTAACTTGCTGCCTGGTCTTGGGACAAGGTCTTGAGCCCTGCTGAGGCTTCACATGGGGTTGCAAGTATGAAACGAATCCCTAGCAGGCACCTGGTACAGTGTGTGGAGGGTGGTAGGCTAGGGGCGGGCAGCATTCCGTACTCTCCCTGTAATGCTACACAGAAGGAAATGTGGAGGAAGGAGTCTGCGGGCCACAGCTTTTGCTCCTAAATGCAACAAGCACAGTGCGTCTGGGGCAGGCTGGGCCTTGGGGAGGTCAGGCAGAGACCAAAGGATCCAGGGCAAGAGGGGGAAGCAGCCTCCTGGGCAGCCGTGTGCATGTGGCAGACAGAAGCCCAGAGCTAAGTCTGTGAGCGAGGGAAAGCCCAGCTGAGAGGGAGTGGCAGGAAAGTGATGGTGTCCTGTGACGCTCCAGCACACACACTGGCAAAGGAGCAGTGAGACTTCTCTGCAGTCCCAGAGCTGTCCTAGGACTTGCCTGATGAGGCCAGTTGCATGTTCTAGAAAGTTCACTCTGTCAGCAGTGCAGGGGGTGGGGAGGGGGAGCAGCAGGCAAGCTGGTGTGTGCGACGCGGGATGGTGAGCCTGGTAAGGCAGAAAGGCAGAGAAAATTCTGGGGGCAAGCCCGTCAGGTCTCCTTCCCCTGACGAGGCTGTGACCAGATCAGCTGCTGAGAGAGGGGCTCCCTGGGTACCCCTCAGAGAGGATAGCTAGATGGAAATCCTGTTTCCTTCAGGACTCTCTCAGCTTGTGTCTCCCATGCCCCATGGGGCAATGCAACTGACTCTCAGCTGAGAGTTTTCTCCAACAGTCCTGTATTTAAACCTCAGGATTTTCTTTCCCTTCTGTGCCTTTGATTGGTTGCAAATCAAACAAAAATGGTTACCCTAAAACAGAAAAAAGATGCGTGCAGATGTTGGATGGTAGTGATGCACTGCAGCAGCCTGGCCTTGCACCCAGGGTGTGTGTGAAGCTGCATGCCCCTGCACATTCTGTCTGTGGCTATGTGCATGTGAGTCACGGTAGCCGGACTCCGAAGCATTACT